TTATTTACTCCAGTCTTGACCGTTCCCTTCTGTGATATAGAAGACATGTTATTTTATCATGATCTACGAGTACCCCTAACCCCCCCCCCCCCCAAAATGAAATCCAACATTTCCAATAGCTTTAATTTTACCAGAGCCAATGGGAAAAAAAAAAATTACCAGAGCCATCATTCTGTCAATCTCTGCATTTGAATATATTTGGATATTAAATGTGTTTTTTTATGTGGATATTACGTGTTATAATGTATTAAAAAGTTAAATGCCAAAAACTAGATCTAGAAAGTTATCACTTCAAGTGCTCTCATGTCTTAAAAAATGCCTATATAGCCTTGTGAGGACTGAAGCAGTGTGGCCTACTTATGCACTCCTGATTGAAAGCCACAATGGTTAAGGACAACTTTTATCCCTCATTTAATTTTATCGCTATTATTATTTCCCTTCCACTTAATGATCGAAAGTCCACAAGCTCAACTGGTGTTAAATTCCTCGACAAATAATTCACAATAACCAATCAGTATCGGACAGAAAGGGACACTGTTTGCTACAGCAAGTCCATGCTCTTTCCAAAGCCGAAACAGCATACCTGGTGTCTGGGTTCATTGAAAGGAAAATATCCAGAAAATCTAGTCACCAAAGGGCTCAAAAGAAATGCTTAAAAACAATAAAAATGACATACTTGGAGTCTGGGTTCATTGAAAGGAAAACATCCAGAAACTCTACAGCCTCCAAAGAGCTCAAATGAAATGCCTAAAAACAAGAAAATGAGAAGGATCATATATCCTTTCAGTTATCATGTTAGTCCACATTTTGAAGAAGGAAATTGCTGTAAAGGAACAAAAATCTGCATACAATTAGGTTGTAATATGCTTCAAATATCTTAATAAGCCACTGCATAATTTTGTCACTCAGTACAAGTTTTGGACTGCTTCTTCAGAGAAATGGTAGTTCATTCATGGGAAGAATACCTTTTTTCCTTTGTGTTAATTCAATAATAGAGTACATAATTACACAATTTTATTGTATTTGCAAGCATGGTTGTATGAAATCGAGAAAGGCTAACCAATTATTTCTTGAGTCAGATCTTTTTACCAATTACTACAGGTAATATTAGATTGACGACAACAAATGTCTGGGATACTATGATGTTCTCTGTTTTATATGCACACAAAAGTCAACTCTATCTCCAAAGTTCTCTCTACATCACTCCAATCCCTTGTTCTACCGTTCCCCAACATCAATCTGTATCAACAATCACCATTACATCACACCACAGCGAAGATGCAATTATCCTCAAGAAATAAAGAAAATATCAATACAAGTATCTCTTACATAGAGAAACCAAAGAACTTCATAATGGGCAAATGCTAAAATAGCAGGTCCAAATGTCGTAAACCTAAATACAAAAACTAGATCCGCTCAGACCCAAAGCAATAGCATTTTGTTTAGTAAATGTTCTCATTGGCAGCAAAAAGGGGAAAATCCCAGTATAGAAAATGGATACAATAGTATTGTTCTCCATAAAAGTCATCCAATACCTATATCAATCGCAATCCTCTCTGTACTCTAAGAGTATATAAAAAAACAGCAGAGTATTCTCCACTTGAGCTACTGCTCACTGAACTTCCCCGTAGTATCCGAAGCAACTATAGAAAAGTACCAACAGAGTCTACTTTAAACTTATGGGGTAAAAGTAAAAGTTATATTTGAGCACTAAAACAAATATAAGGGGCAATGAGGCTAAAAGTTTTGCATTTTAGAAAATGACAATGGTACTTGTCCATGCCAAGTTTTGCCTCACAATTAACTGATAAACACATCATGTCTCAAAATTGTCATACTCTAAGCAAACAGCTAAGAAAGATGAATTTGCTTTTCTCAGGAGAAGTAAAGAAAGTCAACTCACCGCTTCAACCGCTGCCATCTCAACCAAATAGAGCGAGGGATTTTCCTGGAGACCGATAAAAAGACATTACTCCAGAGTCCACAGTGATACATTCAACAGAAATCCTTGTACAACAACAACATCAACATATCCAGTGTAATCCCACAAGTGGGACCTGGGGAGGGTAGAGTGTACAAGAAAACTAGAAATCAAATTTGACTAACAAGTACAAAGTATTCATCATTTATTCAGCAAGAAAACTGATTAAAACATATAAAAAACTCCAACGGATTGCACCTATGCTGAATGATTCAACATTGAACACCAGCATGAGAAAGAAGCAGCCTTTTTTAGACTGAACTTAAACTTTTTCTCCACCGTCAAATATGAAATTCCTTGTTAAAATGGGATCGAAATTAAGGCAGTCCACAAGAATTTCCAAATGCGGGGAAAATTGGCACGCTTCCAGGCCATAAGTCCCGTAGTGCTGACAGTAACCCAGAAAATAAAAATATTATTATGCAACTAAGACCAGATATTTAGCAGATTGGCAACATGTGGAGTACTATAAGCGGCGCTGCATGCATCATTGTCTATTTGCTGACAGTGTAATAGCATATGAGGTTTATATTAGTCTCAGACAAGCTATATGTGCTCTTTAGGAAGAAAAGTTTTCGAAAATATTGCTAAGAATAAGGCAGACACCCCCAACCCCCCCCCCAACCCACAAGAGAAGAAAATATTTTTTTTTTTGAGGAGGAAGAAAATAAAATTGATACATCAATATAAGCAACTTGAATGTGATTTAGTTAGCAAATCTCGAAAAGAACCATAAACCTGATTGCACTCCAATGCCTTAGCAAGAAGCAGTACGTCGCCATAAGAATGAGATGTTTGTACAACGTTAAGGGCAGTTGAAACAGCATGGCCAGTCTGTATTGATTAAAAAAATTAGGGATCAAGCTTCCGTAAATAGGATGTATGAAGGATGATAGCTGACAAGCTCACACATTTAGTAACATTTAATTACACATGTTATCAACAAAATGACATTCAACTGCACAAGCACACAAAACTAGTTCTTTTGTTTGTGTGCATGTGTCAAGTCACTACAAGAGTCTCAAATACAACAAACATAATTTATTCATCACTAAAATCTCAACCACACTACAGAAGCTGCAAGGAGAAAATTTAGATGAATTTGGCCTTGTAACTGTAAAAATAAGTCACCCAACTTCAACAAGCATTGTCTCTTGTCCCATGTCACCCCCCAACACCATAAGAACGATGCCGTTGTGTTCTTTTTTTTTTCGACAGTGTGGAAGGAAAGAAAAAGAAGACTACTCCAAACTAGTGAGAGGGACATGAACAGCTTGTAAAGAGATATTGTATATCATTTTTTTTTTGTGTAATGAGAACAGTCCTACTTGTATATATGATTGGTACAACTTGTGAGCTACATGTGGTTAGGCCACTCCTTATTCATTGTACATATTTTTGCCACCCATCTTGGTGTAGCATTTATTGACTTTGAAAGGCTAACGAAGGATCCGTGTAACATAACAAAAAGCACAAATCTATGTCATATCATGAATTCTGCAGCAACTTACCGGGTAGGATTTCTATAATGGAAAGCACAAGCACTTGAAATAAAGCTGGAAAAAAAATCAGAATACTCCATATTTTTGCATTCAAGAAGTTTTTATATGCAACAACACATACAACACGTGAAAAATAAAATCTTGTCCAGTCAGCAGAAGAATAAGTTCTGTTGTTAGAATCGACTCACCCTTTGAGCAAACCGTACAGCATTTTCTTTCTGATTCTCATGAGGTGAAACAACAGGAAGGTACTCAACCTGCACATTACTAAACAAAGTGAGATAATTGTTTCAACAGTAATATCCACACTAGTAAAAGAAAATGGCAAGTATTTCCAGCAACAGCAACAACAGACCCAACAGCGTAATCCCACAAGTGGGGTCTGGTGAAGGTAGTATGTACGCAGACAGCGTAATCCCACAAGTGGGGTCTAGTGAAGGTAGTATGTACGCAGACCTTACCCCTACCTTCAAGAAGGCAAAATCACATATGTCACCATATCCCTTCCCCAGCCCAATAATGACCAATACACAGGAAGCAAAAAAGATGGAGAGGATAATTAAAAGGTTAATGAGAAAAGCCATGGCCAAATTTTGTGTGCAAATTAATTTCATTAATAGATTATGTAATTATGCTTTAGAGAAAAGAGAATAAAACATGAAATTATCCACGGTTGCCAAAATATACTAAGCATATGAAGCCAGAATAGTACTTGAAGCAAAACTCCAAAAGTTTTAGGGGAGTGGAAGTTTTATGGAATCCCAAAGTTTTAGAAGTTAAGACTTCCAGAGTTCCCTGGTAGAACATATTTTGTGAATATATTTATTATTTTAAAGAAGAAAGAATACATTAGCACAGTTCAAATAAGAGAAAGTATGAAACAAGCACACTATTGAAAGCACATAATAACATGATCCCCAGTAAAAAATTAACAACTAATGAATCTAAAACAAACAAGAACACAATGTAAAATATTTAAAGCTAATGAACTCAAGCAGATAGGCCTACAACACAACTGTAGAAAAGCGGCAGGTTTCTCAATTAAGCATAATGAAGATAAAAATTTTCTATCAGACATAGATCTGTATAAAGATAAAACCACATCTAAGACAATATAAAAATATCAGTATACCAAAGTTAAGCAACATTCAACAGATTACTCCACAAAATTTCAAAAGGCCTAAAGAATAGCCACAGTTTCCATGAACAGCTAAATATTGGCAGTCATATACCATCATATTGATAAATCAATCTGCTAACAAACTGAGCCCAAAAGGAACACATATACATGTAAAAGAGCACAGATTTTCAGATGGGAAAGGAGCTGAGTTCTAGACATATGACTCATAGCAGAATAGCAGATAATAGATTTGAAACTTGACATTGGAGGGGCAGTCACACGTCGAAGAGTGCATACACGTCCATGAACACTTAGTCACTTCTTTTCTTACTGCAAGGCATACATACCTCCATGAAATTGTGGAACTGTGTGAACATTCTAAACATCAGCATTCCCAGGGAAACATTCCCCCTGCACGAAAATGAAATCCCACATGAGGGCGATAATAAAAAAAACAAACGTATCATCCCCAAAGAACCTGCTGAGAAGGAAGAGTATACCATGATTGATCAAAGTGAACGTGGGGATAGCGCACAATAACAGGCTGGATAGGATAGCCTGGGATAAATGCACCAAGTTGGAAGGAAATAATAGCTCTTCCATTTGTTGTAGTCCCTTCAGGAAATAAAAGCACTCGGGGAAATTGATTGCAAGAAGCCTTTCTCTGTTTTCAGATCCTTGAAAGCATATTTCTGTATCAAATAGCTATATTGCTAAACACTTTATATTTACACATTCAGGAAAGAGTGTAATCTACTTACTAATTGTGGACCGAGCTGTTCATTATTTCTAATTCTCTTTTGTATAAATTCTGCATATACATGTGGGCACCAAATACTACCCATGAAGGGAGTGTAATAGATGGTGGAAAAATACTTCTTCAGACCTTATTTAACTGATTAAGAGAGTACATGAACTTCATAAAATTTCGGAGATATAAATTTTGCTAACATCTCTTTTCCTTTAGTAGTACCTTCTCATGAGCCAGCTGTACTCTAAATAAATATTTCCTTCATATCAAATGAATAATAGTAAAATAAGTCATTACCCCGATGGCAATCAGGAGACAGAAGAGAAATGGGTAGATTATTATATGCTAATAGGAAGTTTAAGGCTTTAGAAATAGCAAAATGCTTGTTGATGAAAAGGATCAAGAGTCTCTTATGGACCACACACATTAATTTCCCGATCTTCTATAATTCTTTGCACTTGTTGGCAAGCAGTTGAACAAGCAAAATTTGCTTGAAACCCCAGACTTCAACTGAACTGCATCTATATGGAGTATAGAGCTCAACCTAGATCCCCAGACATGAAATTGAAAGAGCAAGCTTTGCCTGGGATGGTGCAAAACATTTCATGTGCTCCAGGGCAAACTTCAACAACATATCTTGAAAAAATATATATAACTATGAATAAGTGATCACGGGCCTACATGTAAGAAGTAGATTTAAATAACCTCAGAATGATATGCACTAACATAATAGCCAAAAAATGTTTATCATCCAAGTACCAATAGAAAAAACAAGAGACCAAAGACAGATACTATTTACCTTTATTTCACTAACAGCATGCTTCCTTGAAGTGGGAGAGAATCTATTAACATATATCACCTGCAAAAAGGGAGAAGGCATAAGCAAGTTTAATGTCTTAATTACAGATATATATATATATACCAGGCATTCTGAGGCAGAATAAACTGGATTCCAGAATTCGAAGCTAGAAGCAAATGAAGTCTGCCAACAAATGACAAAACATAAATTATACGTACTAGCACCAATATGCTAGCAAGTACACATAAAATTTGAGACAATGTTGTTGTGCGCCCATTACCTGCATAGCTCTGATAATAGTTCCGACGAAAGGCATGGAATCATGGGACTCGGAAGCAACAATGGTAGGAAATAACTCATAGAAATAGAAGATAGGGTCTATGTACGAGACATGATTAGATACAACAACCGGAGCTATCTCCCTTGGCGCAGGTTTTCCTTTTCGTCTTATCCATTGGTACCTGGAACAGTAAATAAGAAAGGAGAAAAGGAACAAAAAAAAAGATATTTTGTCAGACACAGTGGTTGGGAAGCAAATCTAATAAAACAAATTCCTTGAACTCTGACAGCAGCTTACATGCTAATATGACTACGACATGACCTCTTTTAACATGGAATGACCTATTTTGTTTTGACAGCACAAAATGCCTGACTTTTCAATTTGCAAGTTACTGTCCACATCGAATTCACAATTAATGGCATGCTCTAAACCCCTCTTATACAAGATGAAACCATTAATCTTGTAAATCCATGTCCACTAAAATATTGCTACAAGATACAAAGGAAAAATAGAAAAACTTCAATACTTGGGAAAGGAATAATAGTAGGATTTGTAAGGGTAGAGTTAACAGCTAAAAAGAAAATACTTGTACCGGTAAAGCTTATATAATAGCGTGAACTAAGCTTATATAATAGCGTGAACTAGGCCAGAGGTCTTCCTTAATAACGTAATTAAGCCACTCAATTTCCCAAGAGCTCCAACACCCCAAGCTACTTTTATCCTCTCCGTCACCCCATCCACCTCTTCGATAGAGAAAAGAGAGAAAAGAACTCTACTGGAAAGAAGGAAAACAAAAAGAGTCTCAAGCTTACTGTGACTGTTGCTTCATTTAATCACTCTCCTGCTAGATGAATTAGTTTCCAATACAGGTGTGTGTAAGTATCCAATGCAAGTACATCTAGCTCTTTGAAACAAATGAAAGTTCAATGCAATATATGTACTACTAACATGAAACAAAAAAGAGAGATGAAGTATAGCACCTCTCATTGAGAAAAAAAAGACGTATAAATTATTATTTTTCGCCTTTAAACACAAGTAACAAAAAAATAAAAATCTCCTTCACTCTTTCACAAGAAACCAACAAGATCACTGTCTATCTTGCTAAAGAAGCAATCTGTATCAACACAAACTCAAGAAATCCTACTCCTTTAATTAAACCAAAGAACTACTAATATTCTTTGACTGGCCAAATTTGCAAGCAAATAGTTGAAAGCCAAAAAAGGTCGTTGTTTAAATACCCGAAAGAGAAGAGGATGGTTCTGGCACTAAACCGGGTAACACACATCAATCTGGACCTCCATTTAGGCATAGGATTGTGCTTATCTTTCCACCCGTACAAAGCAAGACGTGTCGCCACGTAACCGACCATCAAAGACAACCCAAAAAGCAACAACCTCACCAAAGCAAGAGGCAAACACACGACAATCTTGAACCATTCATAGACCCCTTCGATTCTAGGTGTATTGTTCCTGAACGGGTCAACGGTGGTGGATCCAGGCATGTCGAACCGTTTCGCTCCAAGAAACGCATATGGGTTATCATCCACCTCCGAAATATGAGTAACCAATTGATGATCATCGCCGTTGGGTAGCTGGTGGACCCCATCGTCGTCGTCAACAGTAACGATCACGTGCGGCTCAGGGGCCTGATCGTGATCGGAGTCTGAGAGGTGGGTGGAGGTAGGTAAAAGAGGAGCGGATACAGTGTGGTCCGACATTGCCGGGAAACGATTGCCGGTGGCCGGAAGCGGAGCGTACAGAGAGAGAAAGAGAAGAGAAATGGAGAGTGAAAAGGCGAGAGGGGAAAACACTCTCTCCGACAAAATAACGATTTTCTGTGGCTATAAATCTTTCTTTTTTAACCTATCAGACAAAAATTACGCGACAAAGTCGGACAGATGGGTAACTTCATTTGTTCATTTGGATTTTACGGTGGATAAACTAAAAATATATATTTACTTTTACCATTTACTCATTATACAATCAAAAAATAATTTTTTTTTCTATTTTATCCTTATCATTAGTTACTTATTCCCTAAATCATTATCCAAGACTTTTGAAAATATTATCATTATTTTGAGTAAAATTATAAAATATATATTTCATTATTATTTTTTAAAGAAGTCTCTTTGCTTATAGTCTTTTGCCTCCCTCTTCCTTCTTTCCGTCCTCTTTCCTCTCCTTCTTCTCCCCTATTCTTCCTTTCCATCTTTTCTTGAGCCGTCTATCGGAAATAGCCTAAGGTCTGCGTACACACTATTTTCCCCAGACCCCACCCATAGGATTATACAGGATATGTTGTTGTTGTTGTTGTTTTTTTTTTTTTTTAAGAGGCGTGAAAAGTTTAAAGTGGACAGCTAAAAGTGAACGGAGAGAGTATATATCTATCAGAGTCTTGGGTCATAGAGTTGCGTGCTTTTACCTTCAAAATGTGATTTTTTTCTACACGAATTTAAATTTAATCAAATGTCAAAATAGATAACGAAGACGGGGTGAAAAGGAAAAACTAGATAGGGCCATCAAATGGCATGGTTTGTTCTATATTTTAATTTAGAAACTTACTTAATATATGTTTTTTGATATGTAATTATAAAAATGGTTTTCCAAGGCAAATCCAATTCTTTTGGCCACAAATTCTTCTCATAAGAACAAGTATACCTTGTGAATTAGACTAATACGAAATTGCTCAACCCAATTCGATAAAAGAGTGATGATACATAGAATAGGCAAGTATATTGTTATGTGCTTGTGTGTAAGTTTCTTCTAAAAGTAACAAAAAATTACGGAATGTAGGTTTCTTCTAAGACTTAATTAAGAATTATTAGAATATGAAAATTTGTACAGCTTCATATGAAGTTTCCTTTTAATTTCTGATACTATGTTAGTAGATCACCTATTTGGTTCCTTCCTAATAGCTATGTACTATGAAAAAGTTGCATATAGCACCCAGCAGCGGAAGCAGGATTTTCGATAAGGGGTTCAAAAATTTCCTATAAGAGGCTTCAACAAAAAAAGTTAAAAATTAGAAGAGATTGTGGCTAGGGGTAATTGAACTAGTGATATTACAAAGCTTTTGAACCCTCTTGACTACTACTAAGCTATGCTTTTTAGTTGTGTCAAGGGGATTCAAAATATAATATATAAAGGTACATAACAGATTTTGCCCTACATTATTACATATACAGTGTAATTTTGGCGAAAGGGGTTCGGGTGAACCCCTTCCGCCCCCTAAATCCGCCCCTGATAGCACCATAAACTTCATTTTTAGCACCATAAACTTCATTTTTCTTAAAGTGTTTTTTAAAATTTTATCTTCTAGATCATCAACCTTTGTATAATGATTTCTTTCTCCATTTTTTAAAACATATGTTAGATACTAACCTATAGAAATTAGAACAAATCAATATTATGTTGAATAAAAAATAAAGTTTGAGGGTAATCAAGCATATAAGTTCACCGCACAAAACTCTATTATGTAAATAAGAAAGAACGAGAACATTTAAATGTATATTCATTGCACGTAATACCAACAAATACTAATAGTATGAAAAGTAGTGTAGATATCATAATAAAATTCTAAAATAATTCACTATGTATACTTTAAATGAACTTTAGATCACAATTTAAACAATATTTTTCAATAACAATCAAAACTCGAAAATTTATAATAAAAAAGATGGCAAATTTATATACATGTTATTAAAGTAACAGTTTTAACAAATAGTTGCAACTTTAATCACACATTCATGAAATCGACTACTCTAAGTGGGCGTTTGGACATAAGAATTGTAAAATTCTAAAATAGGGGGAAAAATTTTTGTAAGTGAAAATAGTATTTGAATATAATTTCGGTTGTTTTTGAAGTTTTGTGAGTGATTTGAGTGAAAACTCCGTAAAACAGGTTTTTGGAGTTTTTCAAAATTCGAAAATTTTCAAAATGCATCTTCAAGTGAAAATTGAAAAATTTATGAACAAACGCAGATTTCGGAAAAAAGTAAAAAAAATTTGGAAAAAAAGAAAAAAATTCTTATGTCCAAATGGGCTCTAAGTATACTTCAGAAAATACACATATATAGACACATTCTAGGTTACATGGTTCCTCTGTGTGTGTATGATTAGTGTTTTCTCAATTTAATATCAAACTGAATCGGCCTAAAGCACATTTTTGAGAGCTTAGTAATGGCTAAAATTAATAATAATGAGCTTTGGCCTTGATTGTCAAGAATCTTATGCAAGATCTTGAACCTTAAAAAATTAATATATCATGTTGGATCCAATCTGGTGGATATTCAGCACACGCTTTTCAATTAGACGAAAGTGTACCAAAAGCCGTCCTATTTTTAAAACATAACCACATGCGCAGTGACGTGTTTGTAGAGAAAATTTTAAAGGGACTTATAGTGATTGTTTGGACATAAGAATTGTAAAATTCCGGAAAAAAAGTGGGGGAAAAAATCAAGTAAAAATGATATTTGAAAAGTAGAGTTGTGTTTGGACATGAATATAATTTTTCGTTATTTTTAAATTGAGTGATCTGAGTGTTCTTCTGAAGTTTTTCAAATTTTCAAAAAATTTCAAAATTCATCTTCAAGTGAAAAGCGAAAATTTTATGGCCAAACATTGATTTTATTAAAAAAAAAAAAAAAAGAGAAAAAATTTCATTGCCAATCGGCCTCATATTGTACCTGCTTCATCGGCTGTAATTAAATTGATACTATTGTTATAACGTTTGAAGATCCTTTTATATAATAACACTAATAATTAAACTACACGGACCAAGAAAATGTATCGTACCAAAACAAATATCTTGTTAGTTAAAATAAAACACTCTCCAAGAGTAATTATTATCATAGAAAAATTAAATGCGTTAGAAAAACATGATCAGCATACAATCAACTCTGTAATAATTTACATATGAAAGTTGATAGTTTCGGAAAACTAATACAAGTTCATCTGATAAGTCTAGTTCCAAGTGCCAAACTTGATAATTTGAATGCATAATAATTTGACAAATGTTGATTTAAAAAAAGTATAAATATTAAAATGCTTCTATTGTTTGAAATGCCACGGATATCTTTGGTTGTTTTCAATATTTGATCACTGTATGGTATTACATTAACATTAAATTTTACACATATATCTTTTAAAAAGATCATAATATTGAACCTATTCTATATAAATTAAAAAATCCGTTTACGGGAGCTTCTGCAAGTCGGTATCTAGTAGTCTATGATAAAAGGTTGAAATGACACAACAGTGTCCAAAAATAAGGTCGTCGTGCTAGATAAAGGTTAATTATCGTGTTCAACTAAATTTCATTTATGGTAGAGCGGATATATTGAAATAACTAAATGAAAGATACAATATTTGTACGTGTGGCACCCTCAAACGTTAATCAGAAGTTCATAGTGCTATTCCTATCAACATGTCAACGTTAACCAGCTCAGGTAATCTGTTGACCCCTTGGGCGTTACCGTTTTTTGCGTGGCAATTTTTTTAGCAAAGAGAAACCCCACACGTTAAGCAATTGATTTACTTGAATTATTCAAAAACCACACAAATTTATTTGTAAAAGGAAACCTTTTTTCGTTTTTGAAAAAAGACAGTATTCCCATCTCGCAACGAACAAAACAGTTCTTCGGCAATTTTCTTTTCAATATTTTAACTACAAAAAGATGGCCTCTGACACTTGAAAATCAAGTTTTAAATACACCAACCAAGTTATGGCAGAAGCAAGGAAATTTTTCACTTGACTATAGTTGATCCACTATATTCTCACATTCTTTAATCACATTAAGATAATAAGTCAATATAGTTTGATGTAAACATTAGATCCAATCAACATTATTCCTGAAACATGTGGGGAACATCGGGATGCGTGCAAATAAGATAGTGATTTTAGGATCTGATTGCATTGAGATCCACCAAGAACATTTGTCAGGTTAGTATAATACTGCAGGAAAAACTTCCACCTAAGTTGGCAGGAATTGGGATTTAAATAATCACCATAAAGTAGCAAGCAAGTGTGACATTATCAACTCCTGGCAAAACCATGTGCCAGTCAATATATCTACACCTATGCCATGTTGCCAGTCCCTACCTTTTGAGGGATGCAGGGGCTGGTAATTTTCCAAGTTTTAGAAGAGCCAACACTTAAGATGTGTTGCCACACATGAGATTCTCGCCTAACAAAAATACAGGTTATCTATATACAATGAATGACAGCGCAGTGCATTTCTTTTAATCATGCATATCTTGATTCTTCCCTATGCTCTTCAAGTGTTCTCTGTAAATAATACCAAAACGTATAGTCAGATACATCTTTAGACAAGAATATAAAGATGGGCATATATCTAACCATTCCTTATTAAAAAAAGAACATATTAACCATTACCTTGCATTTGGTCGTTGTATTGTATATTGTTACTTCCTTCGGCTTGACTTGCAGTAAATATAACTGCTTGAAGCCAACAACATTTAGCTAATTTATAGATAGAAGATCTAATCACTCTCGCCAGAATCATAATCACTGTCACCAGGAATTCCTTTTCTGCTTTCGTTTTCTTCCTCATGATTATCGGAATCATTATTGGAGTCATCAAAAGGTTCTCTTTCTGTAAGGAAGAACCCATTCTCAGAAGGTTTGTAGTTTTTACCCCTCCATACCACGATTTGCTCTTTATCGAACGTTACGAGTATACAAGGGACCAAATCCTGCCATGACATAAGGTAATCCACTCAAACATAGTCTTAGTAGCAAGCCTATCACTATATCTTCCACATGGATATCAGAACATTCTTTGAACATCAATTAAAATTTGGTCTTAGAAGCATGCCAATCACTATACTTTCCAAATGGATTTCACAGCATTCTTCCAAATATCTGGCCCTTCTAAGTTGAGGTCTTCATTTCAAGTAGCAAAGCAAGTAAACTGAAGGAAGTAGACAACCAAACTAATATGCAATTAACTGCAGTTCCAGGAATATTAACACACCATTACATGTCATGAAGGCAAAGAGCTCTAAAAGTAAACAAGTAGAAGATGAGTGATGACCATGATTGTTTCTTCCGTCTTTCTGATTTGGTAAATTCACCCCTCTAAATCCCTATCCCCAGGGGCCAAGAGTGGTTTACACCACTTTCTTCCTTGGTGATTCAGACTCCTAAAGAACTCTCACCACTAGAGCAACCACCACTGGTCAACGATGAAGATGACAAAATAAGGGCAAAGATCAATTGTTCGATGAGGGAGAAAAATGAAAAGAAACAGAAGAGACATTAATAGCGACATAGCACAGGTACAAAATGAGTATTGTTACCAGCTTGAGTCCGCCAGCAAAATATGGAACTTCTTTTTTTACCAGCATGCAATAAATGTGACTATTCTATAGTTGAAATAAAGTGAATATTTCTTATTAATTCTTGATTTATTTATTTCATTATTGGAAAAGAATTTATCAACCAATTTATTTGTTGATTCAAGAAAATATGGCTGTGGTTCCTGGACTCAAGACTGGATTAGCTAGGTGGACATTCGGTCCACGGATCAAGAACCTGTCTCCATAGCAAGTTCTCAATTTGACCAGACCCCTCATGCTTTGGACATAGCCACTGCAATTGTTCGGTCCCAAAAACTTGAGTACTAAAATGCATACATCTCTTTCTGACAAGCAAAAAAAATTCACAAATAACACAAGTCAGTGTTAAAAGTATAAAGGCATTATATAAACATTCTTTATAATTTTTCATTATGCATTTAAAATCTAAAGAATATTATAAGCAGCATTAATAACTATTGAAAGTAAAGTAAGAAGTAAGAACACACATTTCATCGTCTAAAAATTTCAACTTTATAACTATGGATTGAAGTTATCCGACATCATTCTTATAAATTACCAGATATTATCTGAAAGCATCAGCCAGGAACATACATACATCTTCAAATACAAATAATTAGGTTTTATCAGTTACAAAAGAGACCCAATATCGTCCCTCAGAGAATTCACTGGCCCCAAACATATCAAATTTGGCTCAAAGTACCTGATTTTTGGGTAATTCCGTAATTGTCTCAAAATAAGGATATTTGTACCCTGAAAATTAAAAAGATTTCTGATACCATACCGCTGACCAGGCATATTTTCCGTGTATCGTACTGAATACTTGGTAGGTATTCATAGTCCAAAATAGTTTATGATTGCCGCTTTTCAGCCCATCTTATTATTATGAGATTAAAAGAGGAGTTTTTTCCTTGACAGGCTTTTTCTCAAGAAAAATCCCAAAATAGTCCCTTACGTTTGGGTTCGATCAAAATGATCCATAATATACAAGATAACCACTGATAGTCCTCCAAGTTCTTAAAAGTACTGAAAATTTAGTCCATCCCAAAGGAACCCATATCCTTCCAAGGAAAAATGCCAAAGGTAATCCCTTAAGTTTGGAGCTTCACTCAAAATAGGCTTTAATATAGAAGGTCTACCAAGTCCAGACAACTGTATCTCGAGATGTTTAGTTAGGAGTTTCCCTATAACAGCCCCACCCTCTTTAGATGAAATTGGAAAATCACCATAGAATTGGACAGAAAACAACAACACTTGGATCAGACTCGGTGGTGTTCCTCTTCATATCTGGTCCAGAAATTTCTTGGGGGGACTCACAGCCATTGACCACTGCAAACAGTGACTGAAGCTTTGTTACATGGGCCAGGATCCAAGTTGAATCTCCCCTCATAAAATCCTCAAATTTGTCGATATCGAAATCGGGGGTCCTCTTCATATCTGGTCCAGAAATTTCTTGAGGGGACTCACAGCCATTGACCACTGCAAACAGTGACTGAAGCTTTGTTGCATGTGCCAGGATCCAAGTTGAATCTCCCCTCGTAAAATCCTCAAATTTGTTGATATCGAAATCGGGGGATCTATATGGGCCATCCCTGTTTGGGTGCGGTTTCATGCCCCATATGCTCACATATTCCTTCTAGGTCAGCTTTGCCTATTGCAGCAGCCAGCAATGTCACTGGAAAAGATACAATAAAGCAAATACCTCTGGTTAACCCAAGAAGCACGGGGAAGGCCTCTTTTCATGACTTGCCAATGAAAGAGACCCACATGTTCAGACTATCTCTGGGTGGAGATTTAAAAGTCAAATCTCAGCAGTCGAACCCCAATGGATACTAACCCGGGTTTTCTCTTACTGCAATGATAAATAAGCCCCATACCCCGCCACATAAAACCCAAACCTCAGGCCATCCTCTATTAAACAATTGGGTCAATAAGGTTTGGAGCACCTTTTTGGCAAACCAGGGAGTCTAGATTTCAACAAATAAATTATCATTGAAAATAACTTTTTGTATTTATAAGAATAACAGAAACTGCACCTCTTCTCGTAAATCATAGTACTCCACAAGAAAGATACAAGAAAAACTATAGCATGAGCAAGTAGAAGTCCAACACAAAATAGAAGGGGAAAATTCTTACCCTCAGTTTGCAGCCTATTTTCCTGTAATCGCTCTTTGGGAGGCCTTTACAATCTATCCGAACCAGCTCCTCAGTGAGAAAAGCATCGCGTACCATCGGTACAAGACTGCCATAGTAACCATTTTTGGCTGCATAGTAGCATACATTTCACATACCAAATCCAGATGGCCTCATCAAACACAGTTGACAAGAAAGCATACCAAGTTTTGTTAATGCCGGAACAGCTAATCCTCTTTTTCTCATTTCCTTGGTTTCCTCGATACTCAAGCCATCAATAGTAGTTTTTACAAGCCTAGGATATACAGGCTCATGAGGTTTCCATAGCATTAAGGGGATAACAGGCCTCTTCTTGGGATGATAATTCCTTCCTCTATAGAGCACAAGTAAACCACCATGTCTGTGGATGATTTTACCAAATGTCTTATCCTAGAAGGCATACAAGAATCCACATTACTAATCAAAGACACAGTACAACATAAAAAGAAGATTCTAAGTTGAGAGAACCATAATTTTAGAGAATAAACCCCATAAACAAAGTAAACAGATACCTGTTCAAGCAACATAATTCCGACAAAGAACAATAACATGAAGGATTAAGAAGCAAAGAAAGTGGAAGTCATTGAATTTGAAGGATGGAGATACCTCCAACTGAGTGCAAACATTCTTCATATCAACTGTAGGCACGCCCATACATTTTATTCTTACAGCTTCAGCATGTTTCCAGTTGTTATGAATATCATTCAACATGTTATGTGTTAAGCCATCTCTCCCTGCAGAACAAAGATGGAAAATCAGCAAACAGGTATTCCAATCATGTGCTATCATAATCCCACTATAGAAACTTACGTCCAGTGATATTCAACTTCATTTCACAATAAAGCAGAGAAGGAAAGAAGTGTTTGATGTCATTGCCATTACAAGGTAAGATCCTAATGCCAAATGGAGCACATCACATCACTAAATTTCCCAGTCTATGACAGAAAATATAAATGCAAATAGCAGAAGTCAAGCGTGGTTTGCATTATAAAAGAACACCAAGATGTTATGTGTAGCAAGCAGTTTTTACAAGAGCTTACGACAACTGAGTTACTGATAAGAATATGCATAGTACCTTAATTACTAAATTGTTTCACCAAATTCCCTCTCCAAATATTAGGCAATGCACCACTTTTTCAGAGCCTCAGTGAGTTTTCCCTAAAAGCCATTACTCACAAAATACTTTAGTGATTATTATTTAAAAATCTCCAACCATATAGGATTAAAATTTAGCCCTAATAACACATTTGATTCATCCTATTCTCAAATCTCAACTCCCTTTCTTCAAGATACACGGTGAGTTGATTTCTATGTAAAGCATTTATATGTGCATCTAGATGGCAGCAATACCAAAGCCATCAGAATATCAACATTGATTTCTTTGAATAATCTAATCATGTATGCTTGGCAAACAAGTTTAATGCAGTTTAAATTGTCAAACTTCCCAACAACATTACGAAATGATACTAAGTTTCAAGTCGTACACGTGCAACCATGCCACTGCAATAAAAAGTTAATACCAAACCCAGCTGAGTACCACCTTTAAGTCAGCAAACCACCCCAATCTGTGTGCAGAATTTCACCACTTCCATTTAATGCAATTAGAATATGCAATGATGTAAACCAATACCATAATGGTCTTTGGCATCTATCCCGTGGCATAGCAAGTAAGTGCCAAGGTAAAGTACCTATATTTACCTTCTCAAATCCACTTAAATAATTTTGCAAATAATCAGATATTCCACAATAACAGTAAAAGAAAATAAAACAAAACTCACCTCATCCAACATAGTATCTTATCTTTTGAGTCTAATCACAAAAGAAATGATCAACCCAATCAATATTTTGCTTCAATACCAAATTTGTTCTAGTCAGCTATATGAATTCTCTATAGCCATTCAACTACGTTAGACCCATTTCATTCCAATGCAGGTATTATATAATTTGTCTAATAAAAAAAATGAATTTATAAAAAAGAGTGTACCCAAATTGACTTGGCGCTTGGATTTATGCCTCTGGCATGTTTCCGCAAGAGCTTTTCTCTCAGCATTCGTCAAAGGCTCTCCTTGAATTCTCTCTCTCATAACCCTCCTCTTCTCCTCCACAGTTTTCTCATCTTCAGCAGACCCCACTTTTGGGTCAACCACAGGCGCACAAACTCCAGTCCACACCCTATCCAACTTTCCAGGCCCAAAAGGCGAGTACTTAGGCTCGCGAAGCCCAATCGGCCGCACCTCCGTACTGCTCTCTGTGTAACTGAAACGGAAGTCGAATGGCAAACTGGATTGAACCGGTTTCTCCCCGGTCCGGTCCAGTGATGACGGCGGACGGTACCGGGGTTTGGGCTGCTTTTTGGGTGGTGATTGAGAGTGGGGTTGAGTGGAATTAGGGTTTTGGGGTTTAAGGGAAGGTGGAGGTACGAAGGAGTATTTTGAATAGAGATTTGAAGAAGCGGTGATGGTTGTCGGGACGGCGGCGGCGGTGGAGAAGAGGTGGCGCGTGACGGAGAGTGAGAGAATTTGCTTTTCCTGGCGGGAGAAGAAACGGAGCATTGTGCCGGGGCAGATGCATTCGGGTCAATTCCTCTGCTAATATAGTTCTGGAGATTTGAGCGGTAAAAATGAAAACGGTCCCTTAATTATGTGTAAGATCAAGTTCAATTTTGGTCCCTTATACATTATTGCTAACACAAAAGTCCTTTATGTTTGTAAAGTTTGACGCTTTTGATCCAAGTCAAGACAAAGACGGGATAAGATGGAGGGTCTCCAATGGGACTAGAGTAAATGTGTGGAAAGATTCGGAGTCCAAAACTTAAATAATGTCTTTTTGGGCAAAAAAATACCTTTGTACTGTTAAAAAAAAAAAAAATTACATAACGCATTATAATACTGCGAATTACTTTAACGGAAAGTTAGCCGTTAAAGTGATTCGCAGTATTATACTGCGAATTATTAAAAAAATAATTTTTTTTGATAAAACTGAGTACTATACTGCGATCAACACAATTCGCAGTATAGATTTGGGCCCACCAATAAGTGCTCTGCGGATAACCGACATAACAATAATTCAAATTGATAAAACTCAGTATTGTACTGCGATTTATATTTAAAAATTTTGCATACCAAGCTCGGACTTGCCTTATTTAAAGGCGTTTGAATTTTATGAAAATTCATTCAAAACTCTCCTTCAAACTTCCGTTCATACTTCTCTCTTCTTCTTATCAATCATTTTTTTATAATGTCTGAAGAGCCAAAAATAAGGGTTTCATTATATTAGGTGTGGGGGGGGAGGGGGGGGGTGAAGTTGTGCTGGAGAATAACTTTGTGAGGTATAGCTCACCTCCACAGTGTCATGTTAAATTGCCGGTTACAATGGAGTACGATAAATTGGTATCGTTGTTATGTAAAAAAATGAGTGTGAGGAAACGTTCGGTGAACCTTAAAGTAACCGGTAGATTTCCGTATTCAGTGACTCCGCGGGGGTTTGCTTATTATTCTGAGTTTAACATCGAAGATGATGAAACTCTTATCATTATCGTAAAGAAGCCCGTAGCCTGTAGGCGCGCGACTACGCGGGCATGGAACTGATGCTGCCTCAAGAACTCCCACAAATCGTCAGGTCTCCTGGGGCGGAGAGGCTGATCCGATAGTTGTCCCTCCCATACAAAGGAGGACCTATGGTCGCCCTGCAGCACTAATAGCTGATCATCGGCTGGTCCAAGATGCGCAGGCGGCAAGTCCATGCCGTCTACTATAATTTAAACAAAATTATTTGTCTATGTTAGTTTAATGAATTAAATAATTATTTTTATAATTGGACCGAGTAATTATCTATGGGTTCCATGCTCGATATTTGAGGTCCGGTAGCACCAAGTTATCCTTAATTATTATGTGTGTCAATTTCAACATTTTTAGAATTTTGTTAGTTTAATAAATTAATAATTAGTTTCCCGAGTCTGGACTGAGTAATTATCTATGGGTTTCAGCCTCGATATTTCAGGCCCGATAGCACCAAGTTATCCTTAATTATTATGTGTGTCAATTTCAACATTTTTAGAATTTTGTTAGTTTAATAAATTAAATAATTGTTTCCCCAGCTGGACTGAGTAATTATCTATGGGTTCCAGCCTTGATATTTCAGGCCCGATAGCACCAAGTTATCCTTAATTATTATGTGTGTCAATTTCAATATTTTTAGAATTTTGTTAGTTTAATGAATTAAATAATAATTTTTACAATTGGACTGAGTAATTATCTATGGGTTCCAGGCTCGATATTTGAGGCTCGGTAGCACCAAGTTATCCTTAATTATTATGTGTGTCAATTTCAACATTTTTAGAATTTTGTTACTTTAATGAATTAAATAATTTTTTTATAATTGGACTTGTGAGTACGTGATTTTTGCCCTATATGAATTACTCCCAGAAATTCAAATAAAATGATTTCTTTCATTATTTTACAATTTTATGGATTTTGTGGTAATTGTTTGCCTTTTGTTTGTGCATTTTAATTAGTGAAAAATACAAAAATACTTGGCATTTGCATTTAAGGGTTAATTTCACATTTGTAGGATTAATTAGCAACTAAGTTACTTTAAAGAGAAGAAAATAACAAAAATAATTCATTTTGCATTTTTAACTATTAATTTTTTGAATTTGTCTTAGTTTGCATTTAAATTAGGAATTAGTGTATTTGGAAATTAAGTAGTATAAGTTTAGAGTCAATTTGGGTCTTTATTTTTAATTTTGCATTTAACAAAAATTAGAAAAATCATAAAATAAAGAAGAAAAAAACATAAAATAAAATAAAAGAAAAAGAAGAGAAAATTAAACAAAAACAATTTGCTTTCATAAATTACCCAAGTTTGGGCCAGGTATGTTTCAGCCCAAAATGCCTCAAAACCGGACCAATTCACACCCCCAGTCCGGCCCAAACGTCTCCACCCGGTCCAGTCCCCAGGTTATCAAAACGACGCCGTTTTGGCGTCAAGGAATCTAGACCATCCATCTCCTCAATCTAACGGCCCAGGTTCCATCTCGTTTATTAAATAAAAATGTCCAAATTATTCAGTAAACCTAGAGACCAAACTCGTCTTCATCGTACCCTGTTCCTCCGTCGCCCTTCTCCGCCTTACGCCGCCGCCGGAAATCGCCTCACGGCGGCGGCCGGTCTCCATTCCCGTCCAAAATAACACCCTAGAATCGCCTCGTTCTCCTCTTTCCAAATCCCCAAACCGCTTCCCTCGACTCCCACCCAAACTCGTCAAATCTTGGATCAAAGGATTCCGGCCAAAACCCTAGGTGACCCAATCCCGTCCAAATTAACACCATAGAACCGTCTTGCTCTCCTCTCTCAAACCCCCCAAACCCCATCCCTCGAATCTAAACGGAACTTCTCGAATTTTAAATTGAAGTTTCCGGCCAATACCCTAAGTTCTCCAAACCCCACCAAATTGACACCACGTGACCTCCTCACTTCCCTCATGAGGAATTCGTCATCATTAGCATTCAAATCTCACCGGAGATAGTCGAATTTTGAATCTGAACAGCTATGCGACTTTAGCAGTTATACAGATGAGTTCTCTTCTTTTTTGTGTTTTATTTCTGTGCTTATAAGATTAGGTTAGTTTATAATTAGTGTGTTAGGTTTTGGATTAGGTTTGTATTTACTGGTTCTGAAATCGGATAATTGTTTTGTCTAATTCTCCCCATGTTAATTGTATAGTTTAGTTTTCCTCACCTGATTAGTGTTCCCATGTCAAATGTTATTTTTCGTTTTAATCCTTTATCTGGTTTAATTCTGTTTTGTGATCTCCATTTTGATTGACTGTCAGTTCGACCCTGTGTTTGTTTTGATTAGGGAATGCATGTTTACGACTTAGTTTAATTTCGTTTGAGTCACTTGACATGTTCAGTCGAATTAGTGTAGTTTGAATTGATAAGTCTTGAGTTCTATTCTCCTGTTTAATTACCTGGGTTAATTAGTTAATTTGTAGAATCTGTTTAGTCTTAGTTGAATTTCAGTCCCATTGAGTGATTAACTATGGTTATTCACTGAGTTGAAGGGTTGGGGGTTTGTTTAGTATCAGCTTAGTAATTTCATGGGTAATACAGGGACAATAAGGGTAATTCACTTGAGGAATCTGATAGTAACTGAATTTAGAAGCCACTAGAAGCACCTAGAAGGGGTTGTAATTGATATTTCAAAGTCATAGTATTGTGACTTGAGACACAAGTCAATAACTAAGGGACTATTTGGGTAAAACTGAAATTTAAAAGAGGGACTAATTTGTAAAGTCTGAAATCTGATAGAGCCCTCATTTGTGCCTATAAAAAGGCATGCCATGGCCTTCACTCAGAAGTTTTCAGCTCCAAAAATTCCCCCCAAAAGGTGCTCTCTAGTTTTTAGATCTGATTTTGAAGTTCAACATTTAAAAACCCAAAAACAATAGAAAACCTCTAGAAAAAAACAAAAAAAATCAGAAATACTGTTCCATTGAAAATTTCTAGTTAATTTTGAACTTTAGCTTCTGAATTGCGTCATTTAGTCTATAGTCTGCTTGCTGATACATTCTGGTGGTGCTTGGGTTGATTTCGAGTGAGTTTGGGTTCGTATAAGCTGATTTTGGTTAAGTGTTGGTTTATTGATGCATTTTCGAGTCAGTGTGGTGTTATTCAAGTCATTTGGGTCAACTTCCAGTTTAATTTGGTGTCCTATCATCTGGTGATTTCATTTGAGAATTGCTTCTGGATTGGAATTGGTTGTGACTGTCAATTGCTACTGCTGATCTACTCCTTTCTCATTGTATTGCAATTTCCAGGTACACGTCTCACAGTGTTTCAATGTAGCTATCAAAATTGGAAATGAAATAAAGCATGGCTCACCTTCCCTGTTTCGTGATTGGCACTCATGAATACTGTATATCAATTGTTAGATATTGTTAGCTAATATGTGTTTGTTTGATATAGTTTAGACTCGATTTGTAATAAGATGAACTCTGAACTGTACTAGATCGCTGAGGTTAGATTTGAGTTTGTTCATCCTAGAATAATAGCCTTAGTGTAGAATAATTTGCAAATATCAGTGCGTAAGTTTCTCTTCATGATAGCCTGGGCTTACTAAACGTGCTTCAATAGTTTGATTCAGAAGTCAAATTAGGCGTTTTAACTTGGAGTCTCAACATAATTGTTAGTATTAGTTCATAGCTTAACAACTTCTCATGAGTAAGTGTTTGCAACTTATTATTATGTGAACTCGAAATGTGTTTTCCTCTGTTTTTCAAGTTAATATTAGCGCTTGAGTAAAAATCAGTAAACAAAAATGTTCAAAGCTGTTAAGTCTGGTCAGTGAGTTGGATAATTCAATTTAGATAGCAAGTAAATCCAATTGAAAGTGTTATCACCAATTATTGAACACGTTTAGAATAACTTGAAATAAACCCAACATATCTTTGTCTTTGATTAAGATTAAGTGTTATTTGGTTTAAACGACTGGGCTATCAATAGCCTAGTCTCCGAGTTTGGGCCTTAAGGGACTTGGCGCACAGCTCAGGCCAGTGCTGGCTCCCTTCTTGTTTGGGCCTAGGCCAAAGCCTACGTCTGTCCCGTTTTGGTTGTACATTAAAGTTGCGAT